TATGGTTAAGAACCAACACACACTATATGGTATTCGATATTATTAATCAATGACTACGAATGATACATGGGTGAACGAATGGTCGGATGAATAACTGCCTTCATTCTGGTTAACAGATCTCATGAATATTTCTGTTTCTTTTCGAATCAGACCGCCTCCGTAGTCGAGTGGTAGACCGTTGCCCGGAGAGCGGAAGGTCCGGGGTTCGATCCCCGGCCGCGTCATACCAAAGTCGTTAAAAGATGGTACTTGTTACCCTGTCTGTTGCTCGGCACTCGGGGCTAAAAGGTCAGGAGTCAGTATACTGTGTCTCAGTGGGGTATTCATGTTAAACTGCACATGATATCCCATGCAGTAGTCTTAGTCACGACTAGTACAAGCACGCACACACACACGTCGCTCTATATGTGCAATAAACTTGGACGTACGTTAAACCCCATTTCACCTCACCTCACCTCTTTCGAATCGGGGCGGTCGGGTAGCCTAGTGGTTAAAGCGTTCGCTCGTCACGCCGAAGACCCGGGTTCGATTCCCGACATGGGTACAATGTGTGAAGCCCATTTCTGGTGTCCCCCGCCGTGATATTGCTGGAATATTGCTAAAAGCGGCGTAAAACCATACTCACTCACTCACTCTTTCCGTTCTTATGTACTGTAAGTATCAACCTTTGTATACATATGTCTTATCCCAGTCATGTCTTTCACAAAGGACACGGGTGGCCCAGTCGTCTAAACATTTATTGTGCAGAGTTACGTCCCTTAGACGTACCAGAAACCTATAATCGTGGGTTCGATTCCCAGGTCCTCCCTAATTATGATTCTGTTTGTCAGCATGGGACCCATGGTCGTGGGTTTCACCGACTTGATAAACATGTAAGGCCTGCATCACTTTGGACTGACACGCTGTCCAAATCTATTTTTTCTTCGCTGTATCGTGGGCACGGGTGGCCCAGTCGTCTAAGGCGCGGCGATTCGCTGTGCAGAGTTGCGTCCCTTGGGCACGCCAGAAACCTATGATTGTGGTTTCGAATCCCGGTTCGCCCCGATTATGTTTCTAGGTTTGTCAGCACCATACCCGTGCTCGTGGGTTTCACCCAAGTGGTAATCGTCTGAGACCTGCATCACTTCGGGCTTTCCTCCCACATCAAGCTGACACGCAGTGATATCACTGGAATACTGTTAAACGCGGCGTTAAAACACAACTCACTCACTCTTAGCTGTATCCAAAAAACTGAGCACCGCCAAATAATCTATCCATTTTCACTATTAACACAAACAAATTTGACATTCGACAAAACCAACTAATTCTTATTTCCACAACTTACAACAAAATTCTTATTTCCACCACTAACAACAAATATTTCTGAACAAATTATTCATTTACAAAATATTTCAACTCCATCGGGTCTGTAAAAACAATACGAAAATAAGTTGGCATCACGCCACCGTAAGGTGTAACTTAATAGAAATATGTATTAGAACATTGTCTTCACCATCCATATTTTTTAATATGAAGTGGTTTTATTAACATATTTTCGAGATGAGAGACCTTATTTACTGAATCATCCAGTTTGAATACATTGACCTTTGGGGGAGCTAGTAATGAGGTTGATATGGATAAACGTGTCATTCTATTTCAAGCAGTGTAAATACTTGATTACACGTTCACCGACTGTCCACTCAAAGGGTCAGGATTATTGGGAGTTCTTTGTTGACGAACGTTTAGAAGTAAACTGGAAAGCTCTTTAGAGAAAATAATCGAAATGAACGGTGAATGGTAGTCATACAATGTGTCGTGCCACAACACTGGGCGTAGTGAAGCAGATTTCTAGGCAACTGTCACTATATGACTTGTATTTGTTCTTGAATAGAAACATCAGGGAGAGTTGTATGTCAAACTGGTCAACGACAGAACAACCAGTCTCGAGTTTCCGACGAAACAGATTCCATTGAGTATGAGTGAGTGAGTATGGTTTTACGCCGCTTTTAGCAATATTCCAGAAATATCACGACGGGGGACACCAGAAATGGGCTTCACATATTGTACCCATGTCGGGAATCGAACCCGGGTCTTCGACGGGACGAGCGAACGCTTTAACCACTAGGCTACCCGACCGCCCCCATTGGGTATAAAAGGCAAAATAGCGGGGAACATTATATGGATGGATCGCTGAAAATCAGCGACAACACAAAGTATTCGTGAAAAAGTATAACCCGCCATAATTTGCATAACAAAGTAAGTGATTGTTACCTAGAGCCTAGAACAAACGAATGCACGACCACGTCCACGCCCACGCCCACGCCCACGTCCACGCCCACGTCCACGCCCACGCAAAAAAAACCAAAACACTTTGATGCTGAAATTTTGTATTGATAATCCCAGCAATGGTATCTATTAATGGCCGATCCGATTTTTAAAATGTATTTTAAAGTGTTGACGCAGACACATCGAAGGGACCGCTCACACTTCGCGAGGGCACTTTATACACTGTTGACGCCTTGATAGGACATCCACATACAATACAGTATTCAATAAGTCAAATCAGGCTCAACTGTTGATAGAGTTGCGTCCCTTGGGCACGCCAGAAACCTATGATTGTGGGTCACTCACTCACTGATAAAACTATGGTCAAGATAGATCATTGATAATACGAATGGCTTGAATGGGCGTGGCTGATTCAGATACTTTCCGTAGTAGTAGTAGTAGCAGCAGCAGCAGTAGTAGTAGTGGTAGTAGTGATAGTAGGAGTAGTAGTAGTAGTAGTAGTAGTAGTAGTAGTAGTAGAAGCAGTAGTAGTAATGATAATAGTAATAATAATAATAACAATTAAACATGTCAGAGAAAGTAATCAGCGTTTATAGTTTAAATGTATCGGACTGTACATTCAAATTGCAAGTATTATAAGCGGGGCGAAATTGGGATACATGGCGACAGGTTTCTAGATCAGATGCACTTGTTTGCCCAAGAGTAAGTGAGTGAGTGAGTGACTGGTTTTACGCCGCCATAAGCAATATTCCAGCAATATCCCAAGAAGTACAAGAAACGGGCTTCATATTTTGTATCCATGTAGAGAATCAAACCCACCTCTTCGGCGTGACGAGTGAACGTCTTAACCATCAGGCTACCCCCGGTCCCAGTTTGTTAAAGGGACAGTTGTGTAGGGGAATGGGTGTTCCAATAGTATAAGAGACCGCAATTCGTTATGAAGAGTTGTGTCCCTTAGACGTTCCAGTATCCTCTGATCTTGAGTTCGAATCCCAATTTCGCCCCGCTTATTATACCCCATCTGTTCACGTCATGAAGTTTCACCAGACTGGTGAATGACCTATTTCAGTTTTGGAATACCTCACCTAAAGGGACCTACCATATACACCAATGTGTAATTATCAAATTGTATTTAACGAACACTATTAAGTTAACATTCACATCAGGCAACACACTGGATCAGAAACAGACACCAGCAACAACTAACATGACCTAGAATATGTCAGTGCACTCACAAAAGTCCAGAAATTGTCACTTTGAAATGTCTTCAAGAGGCTCGTTCTCTTGAATCTGGAAAAGTGTTTGAAGCTATAAGAATTCAGTGTAGGTATCCAATCCGCCCTTGACAAGTTCATAAGACGCAAGTCAGGCCTCGATTTCTCTCGTCTCGCTCTTATATAGGTTCAGCCAGCCTAGAAACATCCCATCCCGAAACTTCTCGAATGATCAAGTCTGTCATGTTTGTGAACAACAACCAAGGTCGGTAACTGTAAATCCCACGTCCTGTTATAATCTGGCCGCTATGGCACTCGGCATTTTAGGAGCGTTCCTGACCTTTTGCAGCCACTGACAATCGCTACAAATAAACTTACAACACACTCTACTGCCACACTTCATCTATGCCTGATAGCATACATTGTTATAGTGTTTTTAATAGTTGAATAGGGGGGCATGGGTGGCCCAGTCGTCTAAGGCGCCGCGATTTGCTGTGCAGAAGTGCGTCCCTTGGGCACACCAGAAATCTATGATTGTAGGTTCGAATCCCGGTTCGCTCCGATTATGTTTCTAGGTTTGTCAGCACCATACCCGTGCTCGTGGGTTTCACCGAAGTGGTAAACGTCTGAGACCTGCATCACTTCGGGCTTTCCTCTCACAATAAGCTGACACGCCGCGATATAACTGGAATAATGTTAAACCCAACTCACTCACTCACTGATAGTTGAATAAGTGAGTGAGTTATTTTAACGCCCATCTGAACAACATTTCACTAATATCACTGCGTGTCATCTTGGTGTATGAGGAAAGTCTGAAGTGATGCAGGTCTTAGACCCACGAACACGGGTATGGTGCTGACAAACCTACACACATAATAAGGACGAAGCGGAATTCGAACCCTTGATCATAGGCTTCTGACATGCCTAAGAGGTGTAACTTTGCATTGCGAATTGCGGCGCCTTAGACGACTGTGCCACCCGTGCCCCACTAACAGTTGAAGCTACCACACCTTGAGCATGAGGCATTGTGCAGCTAGATTGACCACCGAGTCACACCTATGATGGCTTTAAAGGAGGACTGCGCTCGGTGGCCTGTTCCAGTTAAGATCTTGACGTTGTAATTTGTGTAAATTGTGAGTGCAATCTGGCATTCATTAACTGTTTGATTGATAAACAAAATACAAGTTGAGTTTGCAGATCAAGTGGTGTGTAGACGATTTGATTCACACTTGCTTGTAGTGCGACCTTACCCAGGAGTTGTCTCAAAAAAATTCTTGTTGATTTAAGTCACTGGTGTTTTTGTCATTCGATAGCAAAATATTCAGTACATTGCGTAATTGTAATTTGATAACTTTCCAAATTCCATTGTTTGCAATAATCTAGAAAAGCGTGTGAGTCCAAATGAACAACACTGTCATTAACTAATGATACAACGAATAAGTATTTTGAGACAACCCCACGATCAACCACGTGGTCGATTTGACCCTGAGGTCATGAGTTAAAATAAGACATAGAGTTATCTATTTTTCATATACCTTTTATTCTGTACAAAAAAGATACAAAATTATGATATTTGACATACATTTGTATATTTAAACAATGAGAGATCGAAGCAATATAGTACAAAATCTCTCGCGTACAAATCATAGTTACCTTTAAAAGGCTTTAAATCACATGATACGCCACAAAGCTAAAGACAACATCAACTAGGTCCATTTTCTCAACAAAATGTAGAAAATTGAAAATGTGAATTAAATTTTAAAAACCATTACATCTTATGGTTTAAGTTATATTAAGTGCAAGCAGAACGTATAGTACAAAACAATCTAGGAACAAGCTTTTGTTCTGAAAATGGACCATTTTGTAAAAAATATTTGTTGACAATAAGAAACTTTCGTTCTCATCACTCACACTCACTCATAGTCGCCTTTCAAATCAATCGCCAGGAACTCTCATAGCGCCTCACACATATAGAGACAGTAACAAAATCTAGAATACGATTAAATACGATCAGTGTAGAAAAATACTAAAGCATTTCATGAAAAGTGAGACAATCGTTCCCTTTTCTACATGAAAACATGTTGACGAACATCACGTATTTACAGTAATATTTACGAAACACCATGGTACATTTCGAGAACCGTTCTTCAGATCGAATGATGACCTATACTAGCAAAGAGTCTATAATTGCAGGCACAGCAGCCATCATGGGCCAGATTTGCTTAGCTGTTCTACGGTTATAGTAAAGGATATAAAAATCTACTGCTGCAGACAATGACAATAAGACATCAGTTATATTTAATCCTTTTGTCTTTATCGTGGAGCTGTGTCAGAGACGGTTTGTATTCTGGCGTTATTTCGACGGCCTGTCCCAGAAAGTCTATAAAGTTTGTTTTCACACCATGGGACGCCCGTCTCTCACATCTTAACTATCACAATTGATTGTGACGGGACCACACCTTCTGTCAGTCAACGTATTGTCTTTGGATGCACACACGGCACACAATTTACTGTGGTGCGGGGCGGACCTCTTTGCCGTCCCTCCATCTGGAGTAGTGCCTCCAGTGACGGAGGTACCATTTAATGAGGTCACTAAGAGAAATGAAAGATTTCTTTGTGGTGCCTTTAGATCCTCCTATAGCGAGTCTTCCGTCGGTGGAAGAAGTGTCCAATACTGCCGTCAATGTTGACGTCATCTTGCTGGACTGAGAGCTCGTGCTGCTTGTGGTGCTCGTGCTGCTGGTTGATTCTGTGACGTCATCAGAAGTGTCGTCTGCGGATGTCGTCTGTTCGACTTCTGTGTCGTTACTCGTGGTTTTTACGATTTCAGTGACAGTTGTTGTGTTTGATGCATCAACTTGGATTTCAGATTCTGTTGTATTTGTGGCGATTTCAATTTCTGTGGCATTTTCGGGTTCAGCTTGAGTAACATTGACTGTTGTCACTACAGTTACTGCTTCGGGTTTTGTAGCGTTCTCTGAAAGGGGTAGATGTTTCTCATCAACTTCTACTGCTTTATCGTCCTTAGATATGGCATTATCAGATGGAACAACGGCGTCTTTGGCGGCGTTCCCGGCAGCGTCCTTAGCAATAGGTTCAGCAGTAGTAGTTGTAGTTACGGCCTCAGTGACGTTCAGTGCAGGGGTAGTCGTAGTCGTAGACGTTGTGGTTGTGGTGGTTTCGGTTTCCGCTTTTTCAGTGACGTTGACAGATTCAGTAACATTTGGTGCTTGTGAGGTTATGGTTTCATTTTCTGTGTTATTAATTTCTGTTTTGGTAGCTTCTATCTTCTCAGTCGTAATTGATTCTGTAGTGGTCGTGGTCTCCTCGGTCTTGTTCTCTGCTGTCGCAGAGCAATTGTTCTTCTCAGTACACAGATCAGAGACGTCTTTCAGAAGTGGAACGGCTTTCACAGTTGCTGTTTCTTCTTTGGTGACGACATCGGCAGACTCAGATGTGGTGGCAGCTTCAGATTCTGTCACAGTCGTTGTCTCATTAACCGTAGCTTGGGTAGTTGTTGTAGTAGTTGTAGATGTTGTGGTGGTTGATGAAGGTGCAGCAGATTTAGCGTCAGTGATGGTTGCGTTGATGTCTTTCGTGTCAGTCGTGTTGGAATCAACAGTTTCGGTGACGATTTCAGCTTCAGTGTCATTCTTTGAGACATCGGTGACTTCTGTTATGTTCTCGGTTTTTGGTGTAGTTTTAGTTTCAGGTTCAGCTGGCTTCGCCTCATCTTTCATGATCAGGTTGGTGATGGTGTTTTCAGTATCATGGGCAGAAACTTCCACCTCGCCAGATGACTCAATTTCTTCTGTTTCAGATTCAGTCTCTTCAATCAGAGTTCCTTTGGATTTTTTACCTTCTTTGTCAGCGATAGCCCACTTATCAAACACGTCACTACCGCCCATCTCAGTATCCTTTGTCATCTTGCCCTTGTCATATGAGGCGTCGACCAAGTTGTCGGGGTATTCATCACTGGCTTGTCTGGCTACCAAATGTTTACTCTGCATAGCATCATTCAACATCTTCATCATGAACTTCTCAATTTCGACATCTTCAACGTTGTCGGTGTTGTGGTAATCCCTAGCGTACATGGACTGCTGGTTTGCGGCGAATCTGTCGGATGCAAGGAATGGGTTGCTGGCAGGGGGAGCGTCCTGCTGGATCTTCCTGGGGTGACTGCGTTCGCGTTCCGCATCAGAGCCGAAATCGAAAGAAGATGCTCTTGATGTGTCTTCGGGAACGGTAGTCGTGCTATTTACATCTTTCTCAGTGGTGTTGGTGTCATTGCTTGTGGAATTGGTTTTCTCGATGTCATCCAGGGTTACAGAGTCATTAGATGAAGAGGTTAAGTTGGTGGTTGTGATGGTTGCGTTGGTGTCGAGTAGGATTGAGCTAGTTTCGGGTTCAGAAGATGGAGCTTGGCTTGTGGTGGTAGCATCACTTTCAGCAGATGAATCTGCCTTCACTGTGGTGTCATCAGAGTCTTCGCTCATGTTGTCCCAGATGCTTCTAGCGGAAGCCGTAGGGGCACCACTGGTTGAGGATGAGTCGGATGGGGGGCTGGAGCTGGGGCTGGAGCTGGAGCTGGAGGTAGAGGGGGCATCAGTGGTGTCAACTTCATCGACTTTCTTCTCAATCTGGGCCTTCTTTCCATTTGAGAACAGTTCAAGTCGGTCGAGTTCAGATCCCTGTCTGTCACTGCTGGTGTAGAAGAGGTCAAAGTTCCAGTCCTTCCAGGTAGATCTGGTCTCAGAGGCCCGGGTCTCGTACACCCAGCTGTCAGTGGAGGTAGGTGGTGTGGATGGAGTGGTGGATTCGGTGGTGGTGGACTCGGTTGTTGTTGTCTGCTCTGAGGTGGTGGTGTCAGCTACGGATGAGGTTTCAGGGGCGGATGAGGAGGCGAACCTGTGTCCATATCTGTCATAAGAGCGAACGGTCACGGCGATTTTCTCTGTAGCATGAGCTGTTGTGGAGTCCACGTCTTCATCGTATTTCACCTTTCTTACATCATTTTCAATCGTCTCAAGGAATGGAATCTTCTCAGTGGTGGATTCGGTGGTTTTGACCTTATTTACTTTATTGAACTTGCTGTCTCTGCTGTCCTCATCAACCTTATTGACCTTATTGATTGAGTTAAGGGTCTGGGGGTGCATGCGGCGTCTCATATTGTTGAAAGCGAAGTAAGTCTTGGCGCGGTAACCTTGGATACAGTTGACGTTATGGGGCCAGTTGCAGACGAGGTTCTGAGAATCAAAGAATAGACCAGGGGGACATCTTTTCTGGAATGGGCGCCAGTTGTTGCAGTGGTAGAAGGTGTGGCAGTTGTCGGGGTCGGTGACGTAGGCGAACGCAGAGGTACATCGGACTTTACCGGAATCACTGTCGATTCCTGAAAGTATTGAACAAAAGGGCTTCATTGCTGCTCTATGATAGAAGGAGAGGGCGGGGCGTGGGGGACTGTAAGTCAATATTTAATTATCTGTTGATATATCACTTCAAGAGCAATTAATCGTATCAATATTACAAATTATCCATTTCAAATCTAGTCAGATCGGGGGACTACAGAGACTCTTGCATACTACAAGGATCCTATTATGATATTTCTCTATTAGATGTTCTTCAACATTTTACTTTAAATTGAAACATTTGGATCAGCTGTCCAGGGTATGTGCCACCCTTCACAGTACGAAATAGCTGGATGTTCAGGGAGGTAGGACTAGTACATTCTACAATCGGTTACCTACCTGTACACAGCCCGAGATAAAAGCGTAACCTGTTAAATGAATAGCTTTGGCGTCTGCCCAGATGTTAACAAGCAGCAATGACATTGTCATGATGAATGACATGCAGTTTAAAAAAAATAACACTTATGTATAAATCATATTTTAGCATTAAAACCGTTATACTTACAATACAATCGTACGAAACGTTCATTGGCCCTTATTTGATTCAAAAGTGCAATTACTGATCGCAATTTTGTGATGATTTGGATGGAATTAAACAATTTTATGCTTTCAGTTTGATTTAATAAATATGAATGAGTGAGTGAGGATGGTTTTACGCCGCTTCTAGCAATATTCCAGCAATATCACGGCGGGGGACACTAGAAATGGACTTTACCCGGGTCTTCGGCGTGACGAACGAACGCTTAAACCACTAGGCTAACCCATATAACCAAATCTGGATGATATGAGTGAACTATCAAGCCGTTGATGCAAAGGCTTAGAAAGCATTTATGCAATGAAAGCGTTAGGATGGCGATACTCTATTCACAACTTACTGTTGTCCTCAAAGGGGGACCGCTTTAGAACATTGTGCTTAGGAGCCTGGGTTTGAGATCTAGCTTCAACTTCCTTCTTGTCTACTGTTTTGAAGGACTCGGTGGTCTCCTTGACAGCAAGGGGTGTGCTGGTTTCATCTCTCTCAGTCTCGCCGCTCTCGGTGCTGTTACCATCAGTAGGATTCTCACTGGCGCGCATGTCAGTTGTATTGGTTGTCTCGGTGGTATTTTCGTTAGATTTCTCAGTGGAGAAGTCGACAGTGGTTGTGGCAGCGGAGGAGGTTTCGACATTAGTCTCTTCCTTCACGGTTTCAACCTTCTTCGGTGTCTTGGTCTCGGTGGTAGTTTCGGTTTCAGTGGTCGTCTGCTTACTGCCGGAAGTCGTCTGCTCGACCTTGGCCGTCGAGGTTTCAGTTGCCTTGCTGGTCTGGACTGTCTTCTTGGACGTCTTCTGTGAATCGGTCGTTGTGCTCTTCTGAGAGTTGCTTGCAGCAGCTCTAGATGTTGAGGGTGTGTCCTGCTTGGCCATTGGGGCGACTACGTTATCCCCTTCGGCGTCGAAGATTTGAGGAATGCAGGATCGAGAGGAGTCCCAGACGCAGACCTTTGCTTTGGGTTCGAATACCAGACCGTTGGGGCAGGATTTGACAAAGAAGCGTCCATCAGTCAGGCAGTGGTAGTACTTGCGGCAGTCTTTAGGGTCGGCAATCAAAGCCTGGTTCATTACTTTAGGGCAGTGAAAGGACATCGTGACCTGCATCACTGCAATAGAAGGAGAGGGCGGGTTAGTTGTTGCATACACTTTTAGGCCGTAGTTCCTTGTATCACGGGATTAATGCGGTTATATGTTGTGGGGACATAGTAAGCGAATGAGTGTCAACTTAATGGTGTAGGAGAGCTAAAGTTAAAATTTACCACAAATGATTCTTAAATTCAAACCCTCGACCAGCGGATCCTGGCACGGCTAAGGGGAGCTACTATGTATCAAATATGTACTGTACACTGAAGTATAATGTATTTAAGTATGACTTAGTCGGATTCGACCAATCGACTCTGTTTTGGTAGAGATTTCTTATGAATATGGAACGGGTTTTGTCGTTTTTAAATAATTAAATTGTCTCTTTGAATGTGCAGCCAAACTTATACTGTTTTCAAAAAATATACAGCAACAAATATGTGATGCAGCAGTGATACTCGAAGATAGTGTCCCTGCCAGTACAAGACACATGTATGTACTGAACAAGGAGTAAGACAAACTATTCCACATGAAGAATATAAGAGCATTAGGTTAATTAGACTTTCAATCACAATGCTTTGCTTGAAATGGCCAACTTGAAGATCCCTTAGACACGGATGCTCTTTTGAATACTGTTTGCAGACCTGTCCACATTAGATGCGGAAACACAACCTTAAGACTACAAGGCTGCAACTATTTTTTCAGAATTGGCACAACCTAGTACCTGCCGTCTGTGTGCTACTGCCAAGATACACATGGCAAGGAACCTAGCCACAATATACTACACAAGTCACACCGAGGCTTACTCGGCTCACATCGAGGCTTACTCTGCATAACTCAAGTCACCTGGTTTCAAGGCTAAACTTTACCGACTTTGAAAACGTGCCAGGTGTATTCAAAACGGTAATAGACGCTACGTTTATGAGATGGTGTTGACAAATGGTGAGTCCGACAAAGCTAATCTTTACGAATATTAAAAACTTGCGGACCTTGTATTTGTTTTTAGTGAGTGAGTGAGTGAGTATTGTCTTACGCCGCTTTTAGCAATATTCCAGCAATATCACGGCGGGGGACACCAGAAATGGGCTTCACACAATGTACCCATGTGGGGGAATCGAACCCGGGTGTATGCGTGACGAGCGAACACTTTAACCACTGGGCTACCCCAACGCCCCATATTTGTTTTTAAACATTGTCTGATAATGATATGAACAGCAGGGGCATGCGAGTCACACCGCTGTAAAAGTTTCACGAAGCTATCTAATTTGAATATTAACAACATTATTATTATTTCCACACTTGTAAACCCGAACAAAAATGTTTGAAGTGTGTGTGTTGAAATTGTTAACTTAAGGTGAACTACATTTCATGTATTTGAATATCTAAGGACGTGACATTATTTGATGAGGGCATGTCAACGGTCACGTGACCAGACGCTTTGTTTTGGCGTAACGTTGAAGGGACAGACGTATTGTAGGCGAAGGCTTGATGACAGAGTGAATCTCGTGTCTATAAAAGTCATGTTCGTATAAACAGGGCGAATACGGAAGACTTGGGAGGCATATTGACCGAATCTGCCGCCAGCCGTGGACACTCCCTATTTGAAAGGGCAGTGTAACAGATGTAATTTATGTATTTAACCGGGTTGTTAATATAGCGCGGCAAATATTTCAAGAACCTAATAGGAAGTTTGTCACCCTTTGTTCATGGGGCTGTACAGGAAACCTCGATAATCCGTACAATCATGTTAAGGACGTATATATACAAATTCAATTCACCGGTAATATATAGATACAAATATAAATTTGGTTTACCAAAAACGTTCCCAATCCGGAAACCAGTTAATCCGGAGAATTTCTCTAGGGACGGTACCGTCCGGATTAACAAGGTTTCGTTTTAATCAAACATTTAACTGACTTAATGAATGCATTTATATATACTTAACGTATCCTATTCTAGGTTGACCATACATATTTTAAAAACTCATATAGTTTACTGAGACAAAAGGTTAAACCTTATGTCGACACACTGCGAACGGGTTCGATTCACCACATAGGCACATTGTGTGGAACCCCAATGATATGGCTGCAAATTCCTGATAAATCTACTTGTAAAAGATAAAGTTAGATTTCTGATATATAAATGACAAAACCAACTGGACACCGTATTCTGTTAAACATGCCAAAGGGTAACGGTAAATTAACAGGGGTTCTGCCCAAAGCTGTTTGGGGAAAATAAATCCCTTACAATCTATCTAGCCCTTGAAAATGGATTTGAACGCTTGGATGTTAAAATCGTTGACTTAAAAAAAATAGTTTCAACATTTAATTGATTTCAACATATGGATACTGAATTCAAACGTTTCAAACAATTCTGGTTTTTATACTTAAATAGCTTGCAGTCATTTTCTTAAATTTCACACGCGCTATTTTTAATTCAAAATACGAATTCAAATTTAAGAATATGAATCACGGTGTAGCGTTGTTGCTATGAGGATTCCTAGGCATTCGTGCCACCTAGTGGGGAAAAGTTGACAAAAGCTTTGAGTTGTTGATACAATCGATGAAGAATTCCTTTAAAGACTGTCAACACCCGCGGGTCGATAATAGAGAAACAACTAACTCCGACCATGAAATATTTTGACCAGCGGTCAGCAAATGATATTGTCAACAAGGACAGTTATTGAGCGAGATAACGCTGAAATGTTTGTCGAAAACATAAAACTCTGACGTTGATGGCACTCGTCATAGTAAGTGAATTCAGGTTTTGACATTTTTCAACATTGTTTACTGGTGAGGAATCGAGACAACTGTCGACACGGGCATATTTCAAAATAAAATTCAGTGGCCATAAGCTGAGAACTGTCTGAGGCTTCTGAAATGGTGCTAAACTATGTCGTAATGCATGTAACTGTTCTTCTCCTGGTGTTGTAGTTTCTTAAAGGGGAGCTAAGCTGGGCTAATTGTCAGTCCAAGCGAAAATGATTCAAGTCGCCCAAACACCACTGGTGTATGTGCTAATTCTAATTTATTAGGTACATAAATCTACCAGCTAATTAGAAGCCTAATTACAGAGACTCGATGCCTCAGGTTCACACACAAAACTCTTTTCAATGTCCAGATTTAGGAAGACAATTGCCACCAGCCCCTAGACCGTAGGCCCTATTTAAATGGAATTGCTTGACTTGACTTGATAGACTTCTTAAATATTTGATGAAACAAAACATTATTCAAGAAGTTTACTTGGAATAAAATACGTTCAGTCAGCACTGGATTTGTGAAGTGTATCTTAGAGGGGAACTCGACTCGGGCATTTAGGCATTCCAGCATGATTAATGCAATCGTTTACACCAACCTTTCTGCTGCTATCCATATTCTTGTGTCCCCCGCCCATATACTGCTAGAATATTGCTAAAACCTGTGTCAAACCCGACTCACTCACTCACTCGGGCTATTTGATAGTCATAGCGATTTTGATTGAAGTCTTTCAAACACAATGTTATTTGTCTACTGACTTAACTTAACACTGAGAATGTCTCAGTAACACACACGACTTGAATTACATCGGAATCTAGACTTACAATGGACGATAGAAAGTAAAGTAGAGTGCCCCTTTTAAATCCTTATGCACTGATGCCAACAGTCTTCCACACAGGATAATCTCTGAACATGAAATAAGTAAAAAGCTATCACTGTGAAGGACGTATTGATATACTATGTTAATTTTAAAATCAAGGGAATGTCGAAAGTTAAATACTACTTGATACAACTAATTCTAAATAAAGAACAATTGACCAGCGTCTTCCTAACAGGATAATCCCTGATTGTAAAAATAATCTGAAAAGCTGTCACTTTGAAGGACGTATTGGTATAATATCTATTTTTTAACAAGGGAATGCCGAAAAGTTAAATACTACTTGATACAACTAATTCTAAATAAAGACGGCGTCAGCAGCGTCAATACGGGGACCAGCGTGGTCGCTGCAAGCCCAATCTCTCCAAACATACTGCTTATGACACTTATACATTGGCGGATTATATTTTTAAATCGGAAGTGTCGGATTAACAAGGGGAGACGGGGTACAAGGAACAAGCACGAGACGACAAGGGGAGATTACCCGATAATCCTTGCTTTCCACTGAAATATTTAACAAACAGGGCTGCTAATTGTTTAGTCGACAGTCTCGGCACTTCGAGAATCCACCAGGATTAACGTGATTTACACCTTGAACTGGGATTATTTGATTAACGCTGGAGAGAGAGCTGGGCTGTGTGAGGGATGCGCGCCTTGTCCTGACCGATGACCACAACGTTAAAATGACCCTACCAGAAAAGACCAAATCAAAAGCACTTTATATTATTTTTTAGAAAATGTCCATTTTTTTCATGACCCTCCCCATATTTGTGTAATATTTTTATGATCCTCCTCTGGTGACTTCATATCTTTGGTGACCCTCCCCTGATTCCCTCTGACATCAACAAATAACAAGTAACATTCGAAAAACATGCGCATTCATTGGAGAGAATTACTGTGTATTATACTTATAGGAGATGAGAGCCAAGTACTACTAATGAGTGAGTGAGTGAGTTAAATTTAACGTCACATCTGCAATATATCAGCCATATCTTGACTATTAATAATGAGACATGGGAACATTAAAAAATATTATATCTTCAGTAAAAAGGGGTCTTACAATGCTTGTACTTTGCCAAAAGGATATAGCCATGGATATGTGTAAATCTCTGTCAGTTAATAATGTGCTTTCTTAAAATCGGGGTACGTTACGGCGATAACTATTTCAACAACATATTCATTGTTATTAATTTTCTTGTGTCTAAAATGATTATGTTATGAAAACCAGCTTGATATTTGCATCATGGATAAGACCAGTCAGCGTTTGCGTATCCTATCCTATCCTCTGTTGGTAGTTCTAAAGCAGATGCATGTAATACAACCTTGCAATTATATATTCATATATATTCTACTTCACTAATGAAAGTATAACTCCTTGCGTTTCACATAACAAGTTAGACCATGTCACAAGTGTATATCAATTTTATACACTACTCAACTTTTGATAGAAATATCTTTCATACACTTATTAAAATTGCGCATATAAGTCAGTTTTGCCAACCCGGGGCAATATCATACGCTTAGACAACCGACTTTATATAGTATTCATTTTTTTTATAGAAATACATTTCGTACAATTTTGAATACAAATACAAAGACAAATCAGTGGATGAGGAAGGAACAATGGCATCTTGACAGTACATTCTATGCACTCATCAAGTTTTGAAAGAAATACATTACATACAATTTACAAATGCATCTAAAAAACAGTCAATGAAGATGGGACATTAGCATACGTACAGTAAACCAATTTGAAGTTCTATTTAATGTTTGATAGAAATTCATTTCATATAATTATAAATACATGTAAATGTTGTGGTCAGTCATGCCTAGACGAATATTCCTATGACAAGTTGAGTAGTATACATCCACAGTAGGTATCCGAGAGCACAGACTTACCTCCCAATATCACAAGAAGTGCCAGGAGCCTCATCCTTGGTGGGGGCAAACCAGATAGATCGGCCATAGTAGAGGAGTCCAGGGAAGATGGAGAACAGAGGGAGCTGAGAGGAGACCAAGACACCTAGATGTATACAGTGATGCGGCTTCAGCTGGGCAACCAACTCAGAGAGCCACTACAAGATGTTGCTCTGGAGAGAGGACTGAGAGAAGATGCTTCTACATCGGCAAGCGGGGTCTTTTATAGCCCTGTGTCTGTTTGTTTGACGACAAAGAAAGCGCTATGTTACAATCGGGCTATTGTCAACACGACAAACTCCTGCTTCGACTGAAGGGTAAACAGTCTTCTTCGTCTAGGTTGGCTAGATTTCTTTTGAAGTAACTGCCCACAACAGAAACGACTTGGACCTAATTTCTGGTCCGCTTGTAAACAGCGCGAAAATCCGCCGCTAAAACTCAAGGTATCTCTATTGCGTGTTTTTTCCCCTTCAATCGTTGTCTCAAGCTAGGCTTCTGCACTGAGAGTTAGACGAGAAGCTCTGATGGCGAGATTCAGCCCGCATGTTACAGAGGTGCTAGGCAGCCATGCCTTCACCATCAGCACGTTGACAACAAGGTACAAGGCATTGTCGCCAAGCTATGAAATGCACAATATGGCTCTACTACCTGAAAATGATCACAGGGGATATGGTGCCTCCGTGAATTTGACCAGGGCGGATTATCAAATTAACAAGATAACATTCTTGAACATTTTACGTGTTTTGTCTGTGCAGTTTTACATTGGTGTGAATTTCTGGCTTCGGTTGCAAGTATTCCAAGATGCTGGACTTCCTGTCAACGTCAAGAAGACGAACCTAGCTTAAGTGTCGTGTTTGTCCACCAAGAAGCGAAGATATTCAGCGGAGACCCTTACGAAGGACTTTACCACTTTCAAGACGTTGTTCAGTAAATAAAATATATTCAGGTATCGTATCAGTACTATCTGCAGCAAACAGAGAATAATGTGTTAACATTATTTAAGACACCAGATTTTGCAGTGTAGCATTAATAGATTCGACATTTCAACTAATGCTATATCAGTACAGGGATATATCTGCTGTCCTAAGAAATATGTATAAATTCAAAATGTTTCAATAACATCGCCTGTGTCATAGTTATTGTTAATACTTTATGATCCACAATGGCACTGCAACGGGCTGTGTTTGAAAACCTTCCATAACCTAAAACGACTATTTGAAAATGCTAATCTGATTCTGTATCATTACCAGTAACGCTTTTTGAAAACGGTAGCCATCCTGCTCTATATGTGACTTATTCCACTCTCTGTATCGCATAGTCTACAAGTTAGTATTATACCATATATCTCCTTATGTTTTTGTAAAGGGTACTAACGATAAGACGCTACGATAAACTTTCGTACGGTACGGTAACCATCCTGCTCTATCTATGACTTATTCCACTCTCTGTATCCCATATTCTATAAGTTAGTTACCATACCATAAATCTACTTATGATTTTGTGAAGGGTACTAACGTTAAGAAGCAACGATAAAGTTTCGTACGATACAGTAACCATCCTGCTCTATGTATGACTTATTCCACTCTCTGTATCGCATATTCTATAAGTTAGTCATTATACCATATATCTCCTTATGATTTTGTGAAGGGTACTAACGATAAGATGCTACGATAAAGTTTCGTATCATACCTATTTACAGTTACTTAAAATGTAAACTTCGACACCAACAGAGATTCCATTCCTAATTGAACTTTTGAATATTTGTTGTATGTATAAACTCTGATACTATAATGAGATACAATGTTGTACATTTACCTTAAATATACTACCTCGATACTATAGTGAGCTTCCTCTCCCTAAAGTTGTTCATAGTACTCAAGCAACTTTGCAGGTAGAGCGTATGTTATATCGTTGATGTAACGAGCAGTACAACGATGCTATACATATTAGTGTTATGATCTCTAGGTAATTGCTTCCCCAAACTAGGCTTGATTTTACGCATTCCAAAAACCCGAAACCGTTAGAAACCGTTAGAAATATTGACTGAAAATCAAGATAATAATGATGAAGAAATATTTTACAAAGTTAATTTATAAGGTTAATAGTTGTTATACTCAATGGCATAATTATAAGGATGAAACAATAGTGTTGTGGCACAAGGTCAAAATGTAACTGTAATGACAAAATGCCATGATCAGCTGTTCACGTTTGTGGTAATATCTTTGTGAGAAGATCCCCACGCATCAGAGTGTCGTGTTGTGTCAAGTACTGTTTAGACCATAGCATCTGTTACATCAAAACGAGCATCACAGCGTTTTGTCCCCATCTCTATCACAAGCAATAATTCAACTACATCACTAAATCACAAGCAATAATTCAACTACATCACTGAATCACAAGCAATAATTCAACTACATCACTGAATCATTGACAGATTGGTCCAATGCATGAAACAGTGTTATCCTGTTTGCGTTAAAGGACTAACAGTCAAATAGAAATGTATGAGTATTCACATATAGAGGTTTTCTTTTCAGAAATATGTTTCAAGCATAATGCATAATATTACATAATACATTGTATGTGTAACGAAATAAATAGGTAAAGGTGGATGAGAAAAAGGCGTTCATATGGTCAACCTTGGTTGCAAGCATTAGAATCGTTGTAAGAAATACGCCACTAGTGTTATAACATGGTGATACAACTGCATATAGTATGGTATGACACGAACCATTACCTTCGCCAGCAGTCTTTCTGACTTTATACAGTGTGATGTCAAGGCATATATGTTAGTCATTGCCTGTGTTCTGCAAATTGTTAGGAAAGTTAATAGTCTGGTAGGGACGTAGCACTCACTATAGTAGCGACTGTCTCTTCAAACAAGTGTATTTTGATCAAGACATAATTGTAAATATATAAATGTTTACAAAACTGAATGTGATTAATTTGTCGTTTCATTACTTTTATCAAAACTCTCGATGGTACAGCACGTGTATGATTCCAACTATTGCTTGCTTCATCTGCCCCTGTACACTTGCAATACCAGAATAGTTCGATCAACGTCAGCCATCCAGTGTCACACTACACATGGTATAGGACCACACTGACATTACAGACAAAGTTGGACAGCACCATTACCTGTATACAATCCTCTAATATGTTATTAATTATATATCTTAAACAGATCAGGATATATGTAGAAACACAATGTACAATTGCAGTGTTTGCCAGTGCACATGTGTGCTGTTTGCCAGTCTGTCTGTAAGACACCAAATAGACACATACATTTAGGGCGGCAGTTTCAAAGGGAGTCGTACGTTGGCTTTAGGAAGTACAGTGAAACCTCGTTAATCCGGACTCCACTAATCTGTTATTGATTAATAATCATAATTATTTGCTCTGGTACGAAATATACATACGATATATAAACAGTACATAATATGCAATGAATCAAGTATAACCAAAGACATTCAAAAATAGTTCCATAAAGATGCGAGAACATATAGCTTACTGTAGCAAGTGTTGCCAGCGTTGGAGTGTAACTTGCTCAACACCAAGAATGGCTGGATTAAATAATTTGGTTATAGTTTAAGTTTCTGTGCTGATTTCATTTAAAGATAAATAGAAACGCATTGCTACAGTTACTATTGATAAATGGATTGTTGGGGGTGACCAATAAAGGTTAACAACTTTTGTCCGATCAGTTTGTCTTTTGACAAGAAAACATATTTATATCAATGGACTTTTCATCACTACTACCTTGTCTCTTCACTATATTTTCTGAAGACAGCATTCTTTGTTAATCCCACTAAAGAACGTTTACTAATATCAATAGTATACTATTATATCAATATTATACTTCCACCTATTTAATTTATGAACAACTACATGATAATCCAAACTGCCTATCGATCCAAAATGGGTCACCATGGTATTTCCGTTTTGTTTGTTTTTTTAAGCCTATAATGCAAAATGTATAAAGTTCTCGTGAAGCACAATATTGTGAACTTGTTATTGAACAGGAGAATACGGATGTGATTAAGTTTGTTTTGTTTGTTTGTTGTTTACGCCGGACTATTCAAGCAATATGACAGCGGACTGTAAATAATCGAGTCTGGACCAGATAACCCAGTCATTGATATCATGAGCATCGATCCACGCAATTGGGATGCGATGACGAGGCTTGATGTGATTAAGTAGTTGACGATGGCGTTGATGATGGTGATTCGAAACAACAGAAAAAACAGCGTAGCATTAACGCCTGTACATTGATATAATTTCTTAAGACAGTCAATACACAATTGACTGATTGATCAATACACAAGGGGGAGGTGGGTATATGTACTTAAACACATGTGTGTTTGAATATATAATCGGTATATTTGCAAACAGATAAAACCTTTTTTCGCAATTGAACAAAATATAAGACATGGTCTATCTATAATAATAAAATAATGCAAGTGTTTTGGGGTATTTTGCCAGTCTGTAAGACAACAAAAAGACATATACATTACGAGCAGTAGTTTCAAAGGGTGTCGTAAGTTGGCTTCCCCGAATATTTGCCGTTGGGAACGCATATATATAATTAATGGGACATACATACATATCCAAAACTCGTTCATATGGACACAATGTCCGGATAAACGGGGTTTCAATGAATAGTAAAGTTTCACTTGTGAAGTACCGTTATCCATTTTCAGTGAAACCGGATTGTCAAATGACAGGATTAACGATCGATGGTAACGGATTAATGTTCCCAAATTTGACGCATCAGTGACAAAAATAAGGCCCGATGCAATTCCTTATTTTGACTTGTAACATATGTTCCTAATTTTTCTATTTTACTTCTTCTTCTTTTTTTTTCTTTTTTTTTGGGGGGGGGGGGGGGGGGGCGCAATTGTCTTGCCTTTGCATGTTTTTGTGACGGGTGCCACCGGTGGGTCAGGACACCTTTTCGCGAACACCTGGTATCATTACTCGTATCATTTGATAGTGAATCCTAAACATATGCTCATGATATAGTCGATACAGTCGATACAGTCGTCTCTGCTTTATGCAGAGATTTCTATTGGATATGGAAAGGGTTTTGCGGGTTTTTTTTGTATGTGTTAAAGGCTCCCGAACGTAGTAAGCATGTCTCATTATCCACTGAGTACGGGGAAAGATGATTTTCAAAGACGTATTTAATAACATAGAAAATGAGAGCGTG